GGGCGGTGCCCTGCCCCGAGGGTGCCCCTTCGTTCCTGACTTGGGGACATAGGTGAGAATACATTTTGTGTAAGAAGATCACAGTAATATTCCCGATTAAAACAACCACCACCCAGGATCGGTGAGTGAAGGTCTCTGCTCAGAGACCAAATGTGCATGCTTTCTTTCCCACGTGGAGGTTAGATCTGACTTATAAATACGTAAACATACAAGGGTCTGAAGTCTGGGCTACGCAGGAGAGGATCCCAATGGTGTAACTCCTTTGAGCAGCTAACAGTCTTCACAAAATAAGCACCAGCAAGCTAGAACTTTAGGTGAATGGGGGGGGTGAGGTGAAGGGAAGAGGGATGAATGAAAAGAGGGGGCAGGTGAATACACCCCTCACATTCCATGTGTCGAGGGGAGGATGAAACTACGTAACTAGGGGATGGGGAGGAGATGGCGACGGAGGCGGTGACGTGGATCAGGACGCACCGCGCTCACAAACGGACATGTCCACCTGAAAGCCCTGTGTTCAGCTACTTCCAGAGAATGCTGACGAAAGGGATGGCTTTCTCTTCCAGCCACCTGCTGCACACCTACCGCTCCTCTGAGGCGGGCGAGTGGCACTGACACAGCCAAAGCTGTGCGTCTGGTGGCCCCATCCCCGGGAGCAGAGATGGGAGGCGCCCCTCCCCCCCAGGGCCAGGGCTTCCTGTGTTTCAGTGGGGGTGGGCCATCCTCTCTGATTGGCCTCTCCCTGGGCATGGAGACCCAATTAGTTGTGACAAATGACCACAGCACCAAATAAGCAAATAAATAAATAACCACAGCAGCGGCATAGACATACTTTCATTTATTAGAAAGAGGTCTCTACACTATAGCCACCTCTCCCCATTGCTTTACAGTTTTCTCTCCCCTTAGAATACTGTACAGCAGACACAGGAAAATCCCAAAGCAGGAAAATACAAACGGGCATCTTTGCTCAAAACAAGGTCATAGGAAATAACAAGCAACGTGGAGTGTCTGTCAATGGTTTTAATTACAGTACAAACAATATAAATAAAGCATCATTGTGAAACATAAAGTTGCTGAATGAGGTAATATAAAAACAACCCAAAAAGAAAAAAAAGAAAAAGGAGACAACCACCACGGAAGACGGCCCATCTCTGGATGAAGCCCTGCTGCGCTGCACCTTCTGTACACGGCTATTTACACAAATGGGGGCGGGAGGAGGCTGGAAGGGGAATGTGGCCGACTCCTCAGCCACGTGCTCAGCCCGGGCCTCAGCACGGAGTGTGTGGTAGACAGAGCGCTGCTCCCAGATCCCGGGGGCTCAGGGCCTAGGGGGCTTCAGTTTCAACAATCCAGTGCATCTGAGACACACCGACCCCTGAGCATGGCTGGCGGGGGAGTGGGGGCGAATGAGATGTTTAGTAAGTTTTGGGGAGTGTCTCCACATGTGGGGCCTGCTTTCTTCCCCCTGCTCACTAAGCAGGTTGATGCACCTGTGCCTGACCGTCACGGGTCACCCCCCACCCCCCCCCGTCCCCCGCCCTGGGCACGGTCTGTGGTCCACGGGAGGTTGAGTGAGCAGGACGTGGCTCTAACTCCCTGCCCCCGGTCTCTTCACCAGGCTAATCAAGAGTCCTGCTCACCTGACTCCCATCCGTGGCGCAGACCCCATGGCATCAAGGTCTAAGCGCTCCTGGAGGCTTGGCGCAGCCCAGCGGGCGGCCGGCCGAGGTCCTGCTGCAGGGGCGCGGCGGTGAGGGCGCTATGGAGTCCTGGCAGCTCTGCCTGGCAGCCCGCGTGCGGCGGGGCTGGAGAGCTTCGCCCCATTGGAAAGAGCCCCCCCACCTCCTCTTCGTTCCTTTCTTTCTCCTGCAAGGCCCTGCAATTCCCTAGATGCAGGTTGGTCTGCCAGTGCTTGCCACGGCAGCAGAGTCCATCCTATGGCTTCATTCATGACCCCGAGAGGGTCCCCTGCAGGTACCACGTGCCAGGCAACCGAAAAACAAGCCCTGAGCTCACCTCGCTCTCACTCACAAAGGCCTCTTGCTTGGACGCGCCGGTGCCTGCCGGTGCTCGGTGCCCGGTGCCCACCTCCTGGCCACCGGGCACAGAACACTTTCACCAGACAGCAAACCCAATCCAGACACGGCGCTTCTAGAACCAAACTGGCAAGACATCACACACACAAAAGTGGGAAGGACCAGAGCTGCACACGGACCTTCCCTGGGCTCTGCCCAGTGGCCACTTACAGCTGTGAAATATGCCCAGAACCCAGGTGGTAAATCTCACAGGAACAGAGACCCGGAGCTGCACGGAATCCTTTTCTAGAATTACTCATGGATGAACTGCCCTCTGATCTCAACAAAGGATGCAAATCCACAATTTAAAAGCAGGAAATACACAAGTAATTAGGAGGATCTGTGTGTGTGTGTGTGTGTGTGTGTGTTTAAAGAGCTCTTTAGACCAAGACTTCTCCAACAAGAATATTTGAATTTTTCAACAACTCAGTTACGGGATCAGCTGGCACTGGTTTCTGGAACACCGGCTGTGACTGTGCCCGTGACCGCAGTCAGGACTCTGCGCAGCGATCCCCTGCCCCAGGAGCTGGGCCCCTGCCTTTCTCATTTCCAGGTAAGTGGAAGGATTGAGACATTCTGGTTGAAGATCAATCTAACTGAGATTTTGGAATGACAAGGCTGTGGCCAGGCAGGCAGAGCACCAGTGGGACGGGGGCGGGGTGGGGAGGTGAAGGGGAAGGAAGCTCCACGGGCCCGTGGGGTCTCCTGGCTCTGCCATGGGCCAGGCACACCCCCGGACAGACAGGCCAGGCTTGGCAGGAGTGGGGCTTCTTGGAATCCATGAGATAGACTCAAAGAAAAGAACGCGTGTCCAGTGTGAAGTCCTGACTAGGCTTTCTGCAAGGAAGGAGGGTGACAATCACCTGGAGACGTAAAACCTGAATGTGAGGAGGGAGCGGAGATAAATCCTGCTCCCTTTGAAGGAAACAGGTGTCTCTCGGGCACATTGCTCTGTGAATTCATTCCTGTTTCTCAATGTTTGCTTAAAGGCCATAAATACAACTCAGGGGAGTTCTAGAAAATTCCCAGTGACCTTGTGTGTATTGGGGGGTGGGGGTGGGAAGGGGTAAGTACAGGGACAGAGTAGACGGGGAGAGCGGAATTGAGACATTAATCTGCTTTCCACATATCTTTGTCTCCTGGGAAAATTGACCCCTGGTCCCTTCTCTTAGAAGCCACGTGGGCCTGGACTTTTCCAGAACTCCCTACTTCAGGGAAGAAGGGTGGGGAGCCATGACGCCCAGGAGCACTGCTTGGTCTGGGTCGGTCCCTTGTTCACTGGATTCTGACACACGAGTGGTGGTCCTGGACGGGAACGGCCCCTCGGCTGGCCCGGATCCCTCTGGGGAGGGTGAAACCCAGCGTCTTCGTGGCTGTGGAAAACCACATTGGAAAACTAGAGGGGGATTCTGATCAGCGGCAGGGGCCTGGGGAAGGACATACAGGCACCGGAGTGCGGGGCCGGGACACCAGGGGGCTGAGACACCAGGGGGCCGCCTCGCTGCCTTCCCAGGACTGGGCCCAGCTAGGTGTGCTCCGATTCTGTTTTCTTTCCCTGGGTATTGAACCCAGGGCCTTGTGCTCGCCAGACAGGCACTCTACCACTTGACCTACCCAGCCCTTTGTTTCTATTCATACTAAGCTCTAGCTGCTGACCCCCCCCCGCCCTCCCCCTCCCCCACCCAGGGCTGGAGTGACGCTGCACTTACAATGGCTTGAAATCTCTCTGCACCCTGCCTTTCTTGGCCAAGACACACCCCCAAGCCCGTGCCCGCTCAGGGCCTACCCTGGTGGGATGGCAGAGGGGTGAACTCTGGGCTGCCGTACCCCCAGCCCAGGGCTTGCTTTCTCCCCATCATTAGCAATAGCTTCCACACAGACAGCAGAAGAGGTCTCCCACGCGTGCGCTTGCCGCAAGACTGGGAGGCTGGACGCTTGCAGGGTGTGACGGGATGGATGGATGCAAACACACCTCCTCAGGCTGGGCAAAACTCGCTGAGAGCTGATCCGCGAGCCTGAGCCGCGCGGATCTACCAGCCACTCTTGTGAGGCAAGAGTGACAGCCCGCGCGCAGCTCAGCAATCGAGCCTGCCACACGCGAGGCTCAGGGTTCGAATCCTAGTCCCTCTCCTTGAGCCTGAGAGCCCACTCCTCTGCCTTCCTCGGCGGCATCCACACTCCTGTCACACTAGGACAGGGTACGGTACCCGCTGGCGGCGCCGCACGCCGGGCCTGGGATGACATGGAGCTGGAAGGGCCAGAGCTGGGGGGCTCACTCAGGGTCAGCCGCGCGTAGCTTTTCCTTGCAGGGCTTTCCTGGCCACTGAAGAGACCCAACCAGATCTCTGCCTCACGGTTCCCACCTGCCACCCGATGCGGTGACCCCCGTGTGGGATGGACGCGCTCACATCACCCGCCGCTGAGGCCCACCAGCGCTCCACCCGCCCTGCCTTGGGGTGCGTCCACGAGGGGAGTGTGTTCACCTGATCAGGTGGATTCTGGAGATGTGGCTGCCGCGGCCATGGCTACTTCCCACAGCTGAACATGGAAACGGACCACAGAACTGGCCTCCTGCCCTTTCGTGTGCTTTCCTAACGTCTGACCTCTGCCCTGGCCTCACCCGCTCTTGGTAGGAGTAAGTTTTAGGCTCAGAGCAAGAAGGTCCTGCATGGAGAAAGGACTTTGGGTAGGATGCTGACGGACAGACAGACTCGCGACGGTGCTCTAATCTGGCATTCCCATGCCACAACCTCCTTTCTAACTGTTGTCAAAACTGGGGTCCCGAAAATGTGTGGCCTCCTGGAGCGGGTCCGGGTGGCTGACGGGCGGGGGAGGGGCTCTGCTTCCAGGGCAGAGGCCAGTGATGGGGGAGGGCGGGGAAGAACCCATGGGGCACTGGGGCTGTGGAAGGCGAAGTGAGACAAGAAGTCATTTGGGAAAATATTATATTATAAACACATATAATAATATGTACACACTCATATACATCCCGAGGAGAAGCCTTACAAGGAACTCCATTTCTTTTCGGAAGAAGACTCCACTAGGATAAAGCAGTCCCAATAGTGGGAATGAGCTACAATGAAATAATTTAAGAATGTCATTTATCCTCTAGCTGTGTTTTCTACAGAAAGTCTACGGTAAAGGCTATGTATAGGTGAATGTGGATAGGAGGATTAGGTGCTAATGTAGTCTCCAAAAATAGGCAATGACATATTTTTTCTCTATTCACATTTAAAGTAACTACACAGTGATGCAACGCAGAATTAAAAGCTGGATTGCGGGGGTGGGGGGGTGTTGCGGGATTTGGGAACTGCGGTCAAGGTTTCTAGAATCATGGCTTCCACACCGGGGAATATTTTTGGATACTGGTCAGTTCCACTGAGCTTAATTAAGATCAAAATCATCTCCATGAAACATTTACCCACATATAAATTCTGTGTAAAGTTTATTTCCCCCCATCATCTTTATTATTATTATTTTTAAGTGAAATAAGAGGAAAAACTCTTACAAAATATAAAGGTTGAACATATGAGAGCAAGGAGCTTCTCCAAGAGACCGTGGGACTCGTGTCACATTCCTGCACACCGTGGCACCGGCTCTGGGGCCTCCTCCTGCCCTCTGCCACTGGACCCCGTCCCTTCCTAACACAAGGTATACCACGATTTTGTTTCCTAGTCTGAACACCATGCTGGACGTGGCTGGTCCCGGTTACTCAACTAGGTTACACGGCTAGGCGTGGTGGCCTAGCCGTGCGGGGTCTGCAGAGTCTCAGGAGCCAGGCCGTGCCAGCGCCATCAGCCGCTGCCCACGGGGGTGCCTTGCAGGATACCTGGGTCTAGGGTTCAGAGAATCATCCTGTGTTGCCAGAGGTGTCCTGGCTGTGGTTAGTGGTCTCAAATCTAAGTCACGCCTGAGGAGGAGGAGGAGGAAATCACGGGCTTGTTCCCTCCCTGCTAATCTGTTTCCATGTCTTGGTTGTTTTCTTTCTTTCTTCCTCGGTTTTAATAAGCAAGCTGTACCATCTCACTCCGATGTGTTCCTCTGAAAAGGCTGTACATCACATTAATGGAAGTGTTCACCGCTGGGAAGAGTTTCCATGTACAATGATCTGTAACCCTCTTATCTCAACTAGTTGCACATTATTAGTTCACATCAGTTCAATTTATAAATTAACGGAGGTGCCATTTGTCTGTACAAAAATCAATGCATATTTATGAACTTCTTTTATTCAAATAGATTTTCACACATCTTGTCTAAGGACCTAAGACAGAAGCCTGGGTAACGGGGCCATGCGGCCTGGGGGTGACTGCGACCCCACACAGCCACTTTGGTCTGAGGACAGAAAAAAATTCCTCTTCTGTTTGGGGGTAAAAAAAAAAAGCCTTTTATGCATGTACGTAAGTTTACGAAACCCGCGAGAGGAGCTACTTCTCGGCTGAGATCTGACACTTCCTTTCTGGATTTCCAGGTTATTCTTATTTATTTTTTCCATTTTGTTTTTGCATCAAGGAGACCGCAGTCAAATAATACCCGCAACTGATTTCCTCTCTTTGGACTGAAAAATTAAACAGATACTAAATTATGACAGTGGATTTAGAAAGGAGGGCTCCAAGGGCTTGAAAGAACATGTCTGAGATAATATGATGCTTCTTAGAATATTGCAATCAGATTGGGGCAATCACCAGAGCGTGCCATGTAACTACCTCGTTGGCTAATACGCTTTCTCCTCCTGATGACTAATCATGTTCTATTAAACAGCGGTAATGCTGGAAGAACTCAACTATACAAGTGTAATGAAGCCAGTATTCTCCCCGGACAGATTAGCTACAACTGATTTGACACATACCATCATAGGGGCTTCAGACCTGACAAACTCTGTGCTTGCTTCTGATTTATGCCGTCAAGCTCCTGGAGAAGAGATGAAATCCAAGTGCTCCGTTTGGTAGAGGTGAAATGTATGGATGTGCTTAACTGCCAGAGAGGAGATGTTCACCCCTTCTCCTTGCTCCTCGTCTCCCCTCCCCCACGCGCCAGTCCACTGCCTGCCCTGCTCGGTCTCCAGCACCCAGAGTCCCTTCCTGCGGGGTGCAGGTCGCAGCAGTGTGCTATCAAGGACGGACGCTGTGGTGTCGTCTCCTGCGTTGTCTCAGGAGCTGGGAAAGGATTCGGTCTGCAGGCTCCTGGCCTCCTCCTCTTCACCTCGAGGCCGGTCCAGGATCTGAGATTTTGTGTGGGGTGAGGGGCGGGTGGGAGGTGACCACCAGGAAGAGGGAGGGGGCGCGTGGACTCACGTGCTGGGGCTCCCCAGGGCGGGCGGAGCTTGCTCAGATGATGCTGGGCACCCTCCCGCCGCTGTTGTTCCGGTTGTTGTTCTTTCGGGACAGGTTGGGGGTGGCCATGAGCACGAAGCGCTCGTCCGGGCAGCCGTACTGCAGCAGCACGTCGATGCACTCCTGGCTGGAGGCCTGCCGGGCGTAGGCCAGGGCTGTGTTCCCGTGGGCGTCTCGGGCCATGACGTCTACCCCGTACTGTGGAGAGACAACAGAGGATGTGTCACTGTCACCAGGGTTCCGCGGGCAGCCGGGGCACAGAGCATCGGCTGCAGAGCGCAGGGCTTGGTCCGGCCCTGGGGACAGAGACCTGGGTATGGAAGCCCAGTGAACTCCGGCCATGTCTAGCTAAAGGAAAGAATGCTGTTATCAGCTCAAAGCCCCTCCCCTTCACACCGTGGACAGGCCCAGAAAGACTTTAGGCTCCTTATTTGTTTTGTTTCTGTGGCAGTATTGAGGCTTTGTCCCTCAGCTCTTTTCGCTTAAGGCTAGTGTAGTGCTGTAATAGGAGTCTCACCTCTGCTTCCAGCTTTAGGATGTTACTGGAAGATAAACACCTCAAAGCCTTCCCTGCCTGGGCAGGCTTTGAATTGTGATCTGCAGATCTCAGCCTCAGAAAAGCGAGGAGGACAGGCGCGAGCCCCCGACACCTGCCTCCCGTAGGTTTTTTCCTTAAGGCCAGCACTCTACCATTTGAACCACAGCTCCGTTTTCATATGTTTGCTGAGAAGCTAGTATGACAGACATAAGCCACCAGCGCCTAGCTTGCTATTTGTATTTTGACTTTGTAATGAAAAGAATGAAAAAAAGAATCACTTAAAAAAATCTGAGGCAATTCATTCTCATTGTAGAGAACAAACACAAGGGGAAAAGAATCGCCTATAATCTTAGACGTAACATGGGCTAAAAGCTCAGTGTATATGGATCTTCTTTTTTTGTTTTTCCTGGTGGCGGTGGGATGGAAGCCAGGGCCTGGTCCGTGCATGCGCCTTCCCAGCCCTTTCTAGTGAATGTAAATGTAGATAAAACTAAACAAATAATTTGTCCTTTAAAAAGAAAAATGAACGCTGGCTTGTGATCATCTTGATAGAAAACGACTGCGAAGCACAGCTCACCCCCCACTTCAAGGGTTTCCATTTTCACAAACAGTTCAGTTGCTGTTTTCAACGGCTGCGCGCTGGGTGCAGACGGCCAGCAGAAGCCTCGCCGTGAAGGAGTCTCTCACCCACCCCACGCCTTTCTCAGGATTTCTGCCCATCAGGGTCAGAAGGGGGGACGCCAGCTCGAGGTCGCTCGTCTGTGCGCCCCCTCCACAGTGCCACCTCGCGTAGAGCGGTCCCTGGGGGCCACTGCGGTGCAATCCGCTCCAGGCTGACCTGTGCTTTCCGCCTGCTGTGTTCAGGTCCCATCCTGGAAGCTCAGCTGTGACACTGTCCCAGCCAGTGCAGCTTGTGTCTGCGCAGGGCGCGTGCCAGGGAAGTTACCCTGAGGGGCCGCAGCGCGAAGGCGCCGTCTGGGAGGCCTCAGACCAGCTCGCAGTCCTTCATGGCAGGGGAGATGCGTGTCTCCGCTGGTTTGTGACTGTATGCCCCCCACACTAAATGCACTTGTTACTTGATTACTGGGGAGGAAAACGCTGGCTATCTGAGCGCTTTTGGCTTAGTGCCTGATAGAGCCAGGTACCACTGGCTCACACCTGTAGTCCCAGCTACTTTGGAGGCTGAGATCTGAGGCTGAAGGTTCGGAGCCAGCACCAGGCTTCCTTTCGAGGTCACAGGGTGAAAGAAGATTGGGGAGACTTCTCTCCAATTCACCACCAAAAGAAGTTAGAAGTGGAGCTGTGGCTCGAGTGGTACAGAGCAGTCTTGAGTGAAAACTTAAGAGGTATCGGCACCCATGCGCTGAGTTCCAGAACTACTACTAGCAGAAAAAAGACCAACAGCCTGTAGACATTGTGTGGACACGCGAGTCGCATGTAGCCGTGTTAGAGTGAGTTGGATTCCTGCCTTTGGGTAGGGGCAGGCTGGCCTTCCTCTGGGCAGCATCCTCACCCCTGATGAGCACAGCTTCCCTCCCCACCCAGGGACCCCCAGGCTGTCCTGGGGAGATGCGAGCAGCGGCTGGGGCCTGTGGGTGTCTGGAGGCGGCTGTGGTCGCACAGGCCGAGCCTCTGACATCATCCCTTCATGCCCCTGCTCTGTCCCGGGCCTCCGCGGGCATGGGGGGGGCACCCGCCACCTACCCAGATCAGCAGCTGTGCCAGGACCACGTTGCCCTTGCGGCAGGCCAGGTGCAGGGCGGTGCGGCCGTCTCCCTCGCCGCAGGTCTCGTTCACCTCCTCCCGGGAGCCGTGGGCCAGCAGCAGGATGACCGACCTCAGGTCCTCGTCGGCGGTGGCCCGCAGCAGGTGCTGGCCCAGGGACAGCTCGGTGCAGGGCAGCGGGGCCAGGAAGAGCTTCTGCTCGTACTTGGCCCGGATCCAGCGCTCCTTCTCTTCCCTGCAAGAGGCACAAGTGGGTGGAGACTGCGTTTGGGACGTCCCGCTGGGAAGTCATCGCCAGGGGAGCAAAGAAACAGGGCCCAAGGTGCCTTTCGGGAAGGTTCTAGAAGGGGTACCTGCCTAACCTCTAACATCGACCACTGCAGAATTTACCAGAAATGCAGACTCTCCAGCTCCCCCCCAGGCTCCAGAGCTTTCAGAAGGAGGAGGATTCTGCCCGGATACCGCTTGATTTCCTTCCCTAGTAGTGCAGAAGCTGTGGCTGGAAGGAAGGCACGGGAGCCCACGGGCCTGGGGGCCGTGTTTCTCAAAATCTGAGTTCTGGGGCTGCACGAGGCCAGGATGGATCCCACAGGCCAGGTGCTCTGTGGGACAGGGTGCAGGTCATGGGGCCAGCAGAGGGCTCCCTCTGCTCTGCGTGGGCTCTCAGATCTTCCACGCCCTGGGCAGGAACGTGGGAGGTTCCCCGTGTCTGCCAACACACCAGTGGAAGGAACTGGCAGCCCATCTACCCAGGAAGGGCGGCCCCCAACGGAGGCCAGGGAAGAAACACAGCCAGGCACGATCTTGGGAAAGGCTTTTTCAAAAGGGGAAGGTGAAGAACTTCAATGATAGAGACCAGCTGGGCTTCCGCGCAGAGTGCTCAGGACGCTGCCTCGGATGGCCAGCCCAGGCTCCAGCTGCAGCTGGCCCTTCCTGGAGGCAGGGGTGGGGGTGGGGGGAGGCTGGAGAGGGAGGGAAGGCTGGAGGGGGAGCCCGGCGGGAGAAAGAAAATTCCACAGCAAAGTGTGTTTATACTGACGTCAAGCAGGTGAGCTGCTCTGATGCTTGGGGAACGAATGATGGATTTGGGGTTAGGTTTCTTAAAAAAAAAAAAAAAAGAGCAGAAGGCCCTGCAAACACTGCAAACAGGACTGCATGATTGCCAGGGAAAGAAAAGGCGGTGGGAGCCAAGGCAACAACACTTAAAAAGGAGGGGGGGTTGCTAGTAGCCCTTGGAAACGTGGTGTGTGGCCCTGGCTGTGTGCTCCTCTGGGCACAGCCTTTTGGGTGTGGGTGATGAGGAAAGTTCTAGGTACTTGAGGAGACTGTAACTGCTAACAGCTGGCAAGAGCTGATTCGCAATTGCCTCTCCTACAGTCCAGAATCCTCTCCAGGCAATCATCAGGATACACAGCTCCCGGCTACGCAGAGAGATCACTCGGGCCCTCGCCAGAGTCTGGAAAGAAAACTCATTACCCATGACATTTCTGCTTCCTTGTTTGCACCTTTTCCTGTGTTTACATTGTGCACAGTGATCTAGTGTCGGGGAGCCCTAATCTGTTTTTAAATACTTAGGCAAACAGACTCTTCCAGGAGTAAATCTGGATTAGTTTTGCTTCACTTCCTGATACATGTGAGCGACCCCCGAGTGACCCACGCCTCTTTTCATTCAGAGGTTTTCAGGACAAACACGTGGCTACAGCTGAGGACCCAGGGGTGCCTGCCCTCCCTTCTCTCTCTCTCTCTCACACACACACACACACTCCCCTACCTGGGCACCAGAGCCCCTCCATACAGGGCAGCACCTCCCCCCTTGCCTCTGATACTATCTGAAAAACCTTGTTTATAATGTCAACCACTGTTGATGCGTGTCATAAATCACAAAAGGTGCAAAATATCATTTAAATGAAAAGGGATAATGGCGTACAAGACGTCCAGATTTGCAAGTTCCAATTTGCTAACTCTCATTTTTTGGTCGGCATTAAAATCAGGCTGTCATATTCTGCTCCACTTGGTTTTAATAGCCATTGCCCAATCACCCAGTGATAAACCGGAGAACCGAGCCTGGAAACTCTAGTCCTGCCTGAAATTACTAAAATTTCTTTTTAATATTCAAATGCCCTCACTAAAGACTGAGCACGAGCCCCCACTCTGAACCCCTGACCACGGCAGCCCTGTGTTCCCTGGAGCCGGGTGTGACTCTGGTCCCTGAGTGTGGCCACCCCACACTGAGCTCTTACGGACCCACTGGGACCCATGTGTGGTAAAATACACTGGTTTTGCTCCGAAGGAATCAGTGTCCCTAGAATCAGAGTAAACATGGACTGGGCTGTGTAGGGATGGAAATGTATGCTATTTTAGGGTGACCTGCCCCGGAGAAGGGGCCGATATTATGCACCTGGCAGTAGGAAGAGTATCGAGGAGAAGGTCTTAAAAGGGAAGGGCTCCAGGCTCTGGCTTCCTAAACTCTCATCTATTCCCAATGGCTTAAAACTCTCCTCAGATGCAGAAAATGGCTAGACATGATCAGCAGCTAGAGATACTTCAAGAACACACAGCGAGTTCCAAGTCCCACGTCCACGTGGGTCCCACCCCCACCCCATACACAGCCTGAAGGAGGCCCACACTGTGTGTTGGGCCTGTGGCTTTTAGCATCAGAGAGAATCGCAGCTCTTTATTCATGTCTTTTAAAGAACAGCAGCTTGCAAGCACTGTTCTTGGCAATGGAAACCTGATTGGTATGAAAATGGCCCAGATGAGGGCAGTGCGGTTTTGTGGGTGCTAATGCCTGGGCCTGGGCACGCTCACGTACGTCCTCGGGTCAGAACCTGCCTCCTGTGGCCTCGGGGAGGAGGGTTTCGCAGAGGCTGGGCTGGGCGGATGCCTCTCATCACAGACCTCGGGGTTTCAGTGTCTGCCTTTTTCTTTTTTTTTTGGCGGGGGGAGGTTGCCAATGGTGGGACTTGGGCTCAGGGTGCTGTTGCTAAGCTTTGTTGCTCTAAACTAGCGCTTTACCTCTTGAGCCTCAGCTCCACTTCCAGCTTTTTTTGGCACTTAACTGGACATAAGAGTCTCACAGACTCTCTTCCCTGGGGCTGACTTTGAATCGTGATCCTCTGATCTCAGCCTCCTGAGTAGTTAGGATGACAGGCGTGAGCCCCCAGCACCGGGCTGGTGTCTGCCTTTTTCTCCTTCGCTGTGGATACCTTGGCCTTTCCTCTGACGCCTTGTATCCCAGTCCTGGGAAGTGCGGCTGGGGATGTTTAAGGATCGTAGCACTGTGTGGATCACATGCCAGCTGCATCTCCTCTTCCTTCAGTGTCCCTGCCAGGTCCAGGGCATTCACCAGAGGCGCAGCGTCTGTGCTGGAGGTGCTGGTGGGCAGGTGAGGCGCCTGAAGTTTCTAGACTTGCTGCCTAGACATGCAGGGACCCCATGACTCAATGTGCTCAGCACGGGGAGGGGAGCTGACAGGGCCCCAGCGAGCCCTTTGGTGTCTTCAGATGTGTGCTGACTTTGGGGAGTCTTCAGGGACACAGCTGAGGTTAAATGAGGCTGGGGGTTGGGGGGAGAGGGCAGGAGGGAGGGGTGTGGGTCACTAATGCGCCGGGGCAGGCAACAATGTAAGGGTAAGAGATTCCAGAATCCTGTCTCTCCCTAAAAAAAAAAGACCTTCATCTTGGACTTCCAGCCTCCAGAACCATGAGATAAGTTTTCTTTTTTTGTGTGCCAGTACTGGGGCTTGAACTCAGGGACTGGGCACTGTCTCTTAAGATTTTGCTCAAGTCTAGTGCTCTACCGCTTGGACCATGGCCTTACTTTTTGGTTTTAGTTGGAGATTAGCATCTCATGGACTTTTCTGCTTGAGCTGGCTTTGAACCATGATCCTCAAAGCTCAGCTTCCGGAGTAGCTAGGATGACAGGTGTGAGCCAACAGTGCCTGGCTCCTGAAATCCTTCTTACTCAAGGCCGGCACTCTACCAGTTGAGCCACAGCTCCATTTCCAGAGTTTTGCTGTCTTGTTAGAGATAAGAGTTTCTTGGGCTTTCCTGAGCAGGCAGGTTTGGGACCTGGATCTCGTATTTCAGCCTTCGGAGAAGCTGGTTGGTATGAATCAGCGCCAGTGGCTTTACTGAGGCCCACAGCCTGGCATTCTGTGATGCCAGTGGAGTCAGTGCTCTCTCACGCTCTCGAGGTTTCCACACAGTGAACGAGTGAAAGAAACCTTCTGACCTGGGTTCCTGGCCATGGGAAACCCCAGTATCAGGGGACAGATTCTAAGAGGTGGTTCCCATGTCCTGGTGTGGCGGTGGTGGTTCCCGTGTCCTGGTGGTGTGGTGGTGGTTTGGATGTCCTGGTGGTGTGGTGGTGGTTCCGGTGTCCTGATGTTAATGGTGGTGGTTCTGGTGTCCTGGTATTGCTTCTGGGATTCCGGTGCATCTTGGTTACGCCCTTCCTTCTCCCCAAGGAAGGCCAGTTCAAGAGCGGCTGAGCTGCAGTAGATCACCTCTCCTCATTCCAATGCCCAGGAGGGCCACTGCTCACAGCCTCTGTTAGCTAATGAGCTAAAAAATGAATTATTGGCCTGGCTGCCGCCGGCAGGGAGGAGGGGCTCATCTGGTCTCGTGCTGACACACCTTTAAATAAATCAAGGGCGGGAGCGTGAGGGACAGGGGCAGCAGACCCTGACCCCCAGCTCCCCAAATGAAAAGACCTTCAGAAGTGCCATGGACATGCTTTCTTCTCTTCTTCACCATGATGGAGGCTCTTTGTCATGGCCGTGAGCTGCGCTGTGCGTGCACCATGGCTTGGTTGGGTACCAAGCACGGCACCCAGGGGCAGAGTCAGAGGCCCTTTGGGGAGCTGTGTGGTCTGCGTGACTTGGCTGTCCATCCTCTGGGGGGTTTTGTACCCCTGACCCTGAGGAGTGATGGCCTATCAGGCCCCCATGTGCCCATCCCAAAGATGATCCCTCGAACACGTCCTAGCTGAGGCTTGTAGACTTGGTGCCCACTGAACATGCCCGGCTGCTGGCACCGGCCAAACTGTAACACCTCTGAGGGAAGGGTGGACAGGAAGTGGCCTCCTAACTCATTGCTGAAAACACCGGATCTCGTGAAGCTCATGTCTGCCCACAAGCGTGCCACCCACCCACCCACGCGCGTGGCTTGTGGCCATATTTGGGGAAATGATGGCAAAAATAAAAAGGCTTCAGTAAAAAAGAGGGGTCAATCT